AACACTTGCACAACCTGAATAACTTATCGAACAGTTAACACGTGCAGAGTGCCTATTGGCTTGGCTACTAAGGCTCTAAGGCCGGGATGTTAAGGTCAGTTCGCACTTCGCGGGTCGAGCAAACTTCGAACTTCAACTGGGAGGTGAGTACGTGTTCTATCGTATATTTTAATGCTGTTATTCGGTCTGATTTGCTAGTATTGCTCCCTGTCCACCATTGTGGCCGTTTAAAGCATTTTTGCAAGGATAATGCTGAGTGATGACTTAAACTGAAAATTTTTGAGCGATGACTACTGATCTTTACAACGAAGAGACCAAGAACAAAACAAAACGATTGTCGCTGTGGCTAAATGTCCGGCAGCGGGACAGGTTTCTTAAAATACTCCGTGTCCGGCAGTGAGACTTAGAAATTTTTTTTTTAAGTAAAACAACGTCAAGTGAATGTACTGAAAGGCGATCCCAAGAAGAATCGAACCCAGGTCGCCGACCTGGTAAGCGATACTGATGACCACTGCGCCACCGCAACCGGCCGGCCATTTTCGGAATTTTTTAAGTATTTATCGAGTTACCCTTAGCATTATTGAAAGCTAACCGTAAACAGGCTAACCGCAGAGCTATTTAAGCTAACCGGAGTGCTATTCAGGCTAACCGGAGTGCTTTTTAGGCTAACCGGATTGCTATTCAAATGTTTTGACTGTCGGTCACTTAATAATAGTCTACGTTATAAATCCCGATATACCGGGTGCCGGGCTCACCAAAATTAGTATTCAGCCATATAAACAAAGATTTGACATTATTGACTGAAATTTTTAAAAAATAATTTTGACTGCCGGACACGGAGTATTTTGAAAATCCTGTCCGGCTGCCGGACATAGAGACACAGCGAACAATTGTTGAGTCACTTGAGGCACCTTTCACATACTCCTTTCCTTTATAATGCTAGCGATGTGAAAGGTAGAGAAGAATTTAATTGAATAATATATTTTCGGTCTTCTCGTTTACTGGTCATAAATTATTGGCCGTCAGGAAGATGCCTTGCAAGCCATTGCACTGTTTCGTTTGTGGTCGCTTAGTTGCAAAG